AATAATTACAATATATTTTGTAATTTTTTTTTGCCAAAAGTGTTCCTCAATGACGGTTTAAAGTATCTGTATAAGTTTTGAAGTTGGATCTTAAATCCTTCAATCAAAAAATATGACAAATTAAATTTGTAGTAAAAAAGCCTTCAACAGGTATGTAGCCAACACCTATGTAAGTAAAAAGTATAATTTTCCGAATTTTTTTTGCATCAACGTTATTACCACTATTTAAATATATATTTTCGCCCATTTGCAAGAGAAAAAATAAGCTCCTTCTACCGAATAATCTAAGTAACAGAAACGTCGTTTTAAAACAGTTTTCAATCCGTTCATTCACAATAATTAAAATATTTGAAATTTTTTTTTGCCAAAAGTGTTCCTCAATGACGGTTTAAACTATCTGTATAAGTTTTGAAGTTCGATATTAAATCCTTCAATCAAAAAATATGACAAATTAAATTTGTAGTAAAAAAGCCTTCAACAGGTATGTCGCCCACACCTATGTAAGTAAAAATTAACATTTTCCGAATTTTTTTTGTATCAATGTTGAGATCACAATAATTAAAATATTTGAAATTTTTTTTCGCCAAAAGAGTTCCTCGATGACGGTTTAAACTATCTGTACCTATTAGTTTTGAAGTTGGATCTAAAATCCTTCAATCGAAAAATATAACAAATTAAATTTGTAGTAAAAAAGCCTTCAACAGCTGATATGTCGCCATATAGCGTATATATAATACATATTGCGTAAGGTATATGTGCCATGTGGTATATGCTAGACAGTAAAGTTCAAAATTTTAATCATGTATCATTTTTAATGTGTTACTAAACAAATTGAGGGGAATAAAAATATATTATGCATTGATGTGTTTAGTATAGGTACCTCCGTATAGATAGCGCGCAGTGGTCGATTCCGAAAACTAATTCTATCCACCATGCCGTAAAATTAGAGCTACTGCAACGTATTTACCGTTGACAAAATACCGTTTTCATATTGAACATTTGTAATACCAGTGGCGTGTTTATGGGGGAGGGGTATAAAGGGGAATAAGAGACCGTCCCCCTCCATAGGCTGTATAATTTATTACGCAAAAGTTTGAAGTATGCAGAGTCTCCTAACTTAAGGCATCTGACTTTAAAGGCATGGGCTACTGCCCCCCCCCCTCAAAAACCTAAATACGCCACTGTGTAGTACTAATACAAGACGTATGTACCTATATTAAATACCAGCCATATAGGTACTTATATATATGCTATTTGTTTATTAGTTCATATCTATATCTAATATATATGTCTATTCAGGCCCGTATACAGGGGGGGGGGGGGTTTAGGGGTTCAAACCCCCCCCGAAATTTTTAAAGTAGGTATATATTTATAATATAGGTAACAAAAACTAACTACATACGTCTTTGAAATATTTTAAACCCCCCCCGAAAATTGATCCTGGATACGTGCTTGTGTCTATTGTCTTTGATGGAGACCAAATAAAAAAAGTAATATTTTTGAGTAGTGGACCCTCAGTCAATCCCTTGGTTGGGCACGCAACTGAGTACACAACAACACTGTAATAAACAATAATTTATTATAGTATACAATACATGTATTATTATGTATTAATATTTATTGGCTGTTATTAATGCAATTGTATTATTATTATTTATCGTGTTTTAACTTTTAATACGTAAAATAAAAAAAGTTTTTAAAATATTATCCATTGCTAATATTCCTTACCTTACCTAGCCAATAGGCTATTGTAATTAGTAGGTATTACCTAAGGATCTTTATAATTTCATTATTTTTCTAAAATTTTCCAACGGAAATATATTAGTAATGTGTAAATAATATTTAGGCATGTGAATGTTTCATAGTCACACACTCACACAACTATCACAACTACACAAGTACCTACTTAGGCACTATTTTATTTGTTATATTTACATACTATACTGCATAATATGTACAATGTACATTATACAATATACATTGTATTCTTCTAATAGTGTGTTGTAGCCTGTAGGGTTGCGAAGGTAAACAAATTCTCAATCTATAGGTAGGTGTATAATCAGTGGCGGATTTAGCGTCAGGCAAAGTAGGCAGTTGCCTAGGGCGGCAAATTTTTAGGGGCGGCAATTTTAGGCCAATATTTTATTGAGAATACTCTAAGTTTCTTTTTGATTTTCTAATGTACGGTGATTACTCTGAAGGATGGAAAAAAAATGTTTAATATTTAAGTATAATAATATTCTTGTTAATATAATTTCTTCTTTATTTTATAATACATAACAATAAACGTCCAAGTAAATTATAGAACGACTGCCGGAACGTAGATCTATTATCTAAATACCAAACATGGATAACATATTTCGTTAATTTGTTTTTTTGCTAAGTCGTAATAATTATTAATAATCGCTCGTGGTTCGTTTGATCGCACGGCGTACACACACTACACGCACAATACATACAGATATGATATATTTAATACGAATACGGGTGATGATCGATTCGTATTGGAACAATAGTCTAATTATAAACCAGTCACTGTGAATATTTTATATAATATACTCGTACGTACTATGCATTATGTGTACAAAAATAAAACTATTTCTATCCAAAAGATAAAATTATGTAATAATTGTTTATTTTTCTTCGGGACTATGAAATAGAGGGTGGCCGAGTAAAAAATAGGTTTATTCTGATTAGACATTCGATTATTTTCAACACAACATTCAAGGCGGATAGACTTCATATTCGGTTATTAGTATACTACTTAAATTACTGGTAAGTAAACACTATATTTTATAAACACATTTTATTAGAACAGTTTATTAACATAACTGCCATTAATTATTGTTTAGTATCAGTTTTTATGATTTATTTTTTTAGTACTTATGTTAAATAAGTACCTATTTAAAAATTCGTTTTCTCGTTGATAAGTTTAATGGGGCGGCAAAAAAAAATTTGCCTAGGGGCGGCAATTGTGTAAATCCGTCTCTGTGTATAATATTGAAGTCAGAGTCATAATGTTGATCCTATATAATAGTTACACTTCTAGGTCTGAGACCAACAATTATAGCTTCGTGGTGGTCCATGGAACTATACAGAGCATCGTGGTATTCAATTTTATTGGACTTGCGACCTATTTTTAGTTGTTATTTTTTTTTTTGCGCCCTAGTTACCTAGTACCTACCCAGTGCCGGATTTAGAGGGGGTGCAGGGGGTGCATTGTACCGAGGCCTCAAGACCAAGGTTGTATTATAGGGGCCTCAGGTTGAAGTCCTAAATTTTCTAACTTTCTATAACTTTGTAATAGAAAATTTACAAATTTTATTATTTTAAGATGTTAAACTGACAAGTGACAACCTAACCTATATAATATAATTTACCTAGAGTGGAAGACCCAGGGGTGCAGAAGCCTCGCCCCCCAGACCTCTTCAGCAGACTCATATATTTTTACTTACAGAAATATTTAAAAGTGTACACGCGTGTAATGTTATGCATTATAATTAATTACACAATCTATTTATCTATTTTGGAAACCATTGGGAATGTTATTGGAATGAAAACATTTACAACAGTTATTATTATATTATATAATTGTTGTTGCATTTATGGCTTAGAAGTATTTTTTAGAAGCCCCCCCTCCAAAAAAAAAAAATTAAATAATATATCCACCACTACTCTTTACCTACCTATACTATCTTTTATTGACTTTTGAAAAAAACATGTCTAACAGACAATTTGAAAGTGGTGCATCTAAAAGGTGAAGAAAAATGTTCAAAACAATGAATTAAAAAAATATTAAGGATTGATGAATAATTTTGTATTCAATTTAGGTACCTAATTGCATTGATTAAATATTTTATATTTAATCAATGCTAATACATTACTCTATATATAGTTCCAGATGACGTAATTAGGGGGAGGGGGGAGTTAGGTGTCGTATCATCCCTGCAACCATGACTATTTTTTTAAAACTAGTAAAATAATACAGGATCGTCCATACTATATCAAAGTTTTCAAGGGGTTATACATTAAAAATTGTTATGATGGGGTGGGCAAATGCCCCTTCACCACCCTTGGGGACGTTCCTGTAAACATATTTACAAAGTACTCATATTTAACTATTAATATTATTATTTATAGGTTGATTATATTAGGAACTACCTATATTGTTTTAGTATACCTATATAAAAACATTAAATATAAAAACCCGACTGAGTGATTCCCCATATATTATATGGTAGATGTAAGCATACTGCATAACGAAGATAATATTACTTCGTATATAATGACTAATAACTAACACTACTTATTATAATGACTATATTGCACAAATATATTGAAACACTGCAGCATAATAATGCAGTTTATTCCTATACGCTAAACTTATGTAAGCGATTTTTTAAAAAAATGTTAAGAACAACCAGAATTTGTAGGTCGGGCTTGGTTTCAAAGCTATAACTATTATAATTTATAACTTATAACTTTTTGAAGTTATTTGGAGTAGGTAGGTACCTAATACGTTTTACGCAGATTATTCCACAAATCTATACATTACATAACTTACTATTAAAATAATGTAATGTAATTATTTTTGATACATTTATTTATATAGGTATACATTATTTTACTATGTACATTTCATTTTTTTAGTGATGGTGGGGTGAAAAATATTTCAAACCCCCCTCTCCATCACCACAAATATGACCAAATTACCCCTCTATAGCTGTATGTATAATATATATAAACTTGTAGGTATAAATTATTTAGATGTAGCTGCAGTGGGTACATTATTGCATATGTACATCAATATATAATATATACCTCACGCATGCTCTTCATAATATGATGTGTCGTGTGATCCTGCAATAAGTCCGAGTTGTTCCTTTCACCATGCATACAAATGCAGCATTTGTGCAACAGTATATACTTGTATACTGTATAGGTTACCTACGACCTACCTTTATAATATATAGGTAGGTACCACATCGCACCCCGAAAACTCAGCGAAACTGTCGACAGCGGATCGTGGGCCCGCTGCGCAGGAGTAGAACACCCACCGACGACCAGTCATCGTCAGGGTGGCTGAGGAAGTAGGGGCTGCAGATGCAGACACCACGCGACGCAGCGATCCAATCGGATCCCGGATGACGACAGCACACAAGGACGGAGACAGAAGGAAAACTGGAAAACCAACAACGGAGACGGGAATTCCAGAACATGAGATGAGAATTCACGAGGCACGAGACTCGAGGCCGGCGGGCTAACCAGCCGGGCCGGGAAGACCCAGAACGTGTCTTCGAGACTGGCGGGCAGCAAAGCCGGGTCGAGAAGACAAAAAACGCAAACAGCGGGCCTTCAGCCAACAACATGTTATTTCTACTAAAATGTAAATTTGTTTAAATGTGCGCCCATTAAGGGACAAAATGAAAAGGTGTAAAATATTAATTATAAAATGTAACGTCATTTATTTAAATTAATAAACGATGGCGGCGTCGCGGAAGTAGTGCGAAAGCAGTTCCCGCGACGTCGTCGGTGCAAAACTGAAAAAAAAAAAAAAAAAAAAAAAAGGTAGGTACCACATAAATGTCCTATTAAATATCAGAAACCAAGTTGTTAATATATAACTATAATACTATATTAGTTAATTACCTATACATTTATACCTAGGAATGTATACCTACTATATTTATATAATATATAATGACCGAGATATTATAATATTATAGTTTATTTTATTTATATTATATATAGGTATGCATTAGCATTACGAGAACGAACGAGCTGTATGTTAGCAGGAGCGGACTGGCTAAGGTGACGGGTGAGCAATCCGGGTCTGGCGTAAATTTGGGCTGCTTGAATAAATCTGGGCCGATAACTCATAAATAATTTATTATTAGGCCAAAATTGGCCCGAATCTTTGGTTTTCTCGGGGCTAATTTATATTCCTAGCTCCTGTAAGTTAATACCAACTACCGCCAACAACCTATATCCGACCTATATAGGTATACCTTAAGATAGATTGTATAGGTTATAGAGTATATAGGTATATACTACCACATCTACAACTACATATAGATACACCTACCTAAATTATTATATTATATTACGTCCACTTTACTGAACACTCGGCACTGCTGCTATAGACTGTATAATAAATAATAATATATCTAGAGGGATGGGATTTTTTTCATTTTGATATAATATTATTATGTAATTCTTGTTCTGAGTAGGCATATGTGTATAGTATAAGGTATACCTATAGACACTGACACCTACATAGGTAGTACATAGTATAATATAAATAATATAGAACCTATCGATAGGTACACTAGGTGCACATATACTGCAAAGTGCATTGTCTATACATAAACAATGTAATAAAAATGAAACATAATATTGTTATAGGTATACCGTATATACACTGTCTATACGGCGATTGACGTCTGTTGTAGTTGGCGTTGCGCGTGTGCGCGTCGTCGCCGCAGTCGAACCAAACGTAGACGACGGTCGTGGTGGATAGAATATAATATAGGTGTGGTTGAGCGCTACCGAACACAGTTTTTGTTTGTGGAAATCCCCACCCGAGTGTATCAATCACTGCGCCGAGCCGTCCGCCGCCACTGTAACCTATACGGGGCTGTACGGGATACGCCCGCGCCGGATTGGCCGTGGCCATGGTGACGGGCGGCTAATCATGGGCGGGGCGACGGTGGTGTGCAGAGTGCGCGCGCGACGACCGCGGGCGGGCGGGACGTCTGCGACTACGACGAAGGGCGGGAGCGGTACCGGGGAGCTTGAGCCGGAACAGGATCTCAAGCGGCAGCGGGAGCAGGAGGAGGCGTCGCCGCGCCGCAGGAAAGTGGTGGGGGGCCGGCGGGCGGGCGAAACCGCTCACTCTCTCACTCTCACTTTTTGCTGCCGTTGCCGCCACCACCGCCACGGCACCACCGCCGCGCACCAGTAGTATTCGGCCGGTCAACGATATTCCGATGATCTGACGCAAACGATATCCCCCCGAACCGACGACTCACGCGCGCACACGCATCCACGCACACGCACGCACGCACGTATCGTTTCGTATCGTATCATACACACCGCCGTTCGGCCGTATACAGTCTACACGTACGCCGCCGCGACGACCGTACTACGTCCGTCGTTGTAGGTATAATACGGTCACTAATATCATATTATTATATGCCTACCCGTCCGCGCACTATTATATCATACACCTAGTTTGCCGTCGTAATAATTATCGTACACGTTATACTGTTTATATTATATTGTTGTCGGGTCAAATCTCTGCGCATACGTTCCGATCGTTTTTTAACCGTGACTATATACTGCTGTAAAACCCCCGCGATTCATCGGAAGTGCATAATAATATTAAACTATAATTATAGTGTTACCCGCCGATATAGTGTATACCTACGTTTGCGGTTCGCGTTCTTGTCGCGGGACGGTCTTCGTATTACTTTATTTTACGTATAAATAATATTATACGCATTGTTTACCGGCGCCGCGCATCGTCCGACTGCAGCGGCTGCAACTGCATCACTGCAACATCACCGCCGCGGCTCATTCCGTCGGTTCACGGGGCTGGCGCGTGGCATGTAGAGCGATGGCACTGGGCATATCTTCGACGCCCACCGACTCGTCGTCGGGCCGGGGATCGCCGGTGAGCCCGATCAGCAGCCCGGTGACGCCGCTGGCCACCCGGCTCGCGCCCATGCCGCCCATGGTTCCGAACCCCATGTTCGGGCTGCCCATGCTCAACTTCAGCGTGTCGCAGGTGGCCAGCGTGTGCGAGACGCTCGAGGAGAGTGGCGACATCGAGAGGCTGGCCCGGTTCCTGTGGTCGTTGCCCGTCGCTCACCCCAACATCGTCGAGCTGAACAAGAGCGAGGCCGTGCTCCGGGCCCGGGCCATCGTGTCGTTCCACAGCGGCAACTACCGCGACATGTACACCATACTCGAACACCACAAGTTCACCAAGGACTCGCACGGAAAGCTGCAGGCCATGTGGCTGGAAGCCCACTACCAGGAGGCCGAGAAGCTCCGCGGCCGGCCGCTGGGCCCGGTCGACAAGTACCGCGTACGCAAGAAGTTCCCGTTGCCCCGGACCATATGGGACGGCGAGCAGAAGACACACTGCTTCAAGGAACGCACCCGGAGCCTGCTCCGCGAGTGGTACCTCCAGGACCCGTACCCAAATCCTACCAAGAAAAAGGAACTGGCCCAGGCCACCGGACTGACACCCACGCAGGTGGGCAATTGGTTCAAAAACCGCAGACAACGTGATAGAGCGGCGGCGGCCAAAAACAGGTAAGCCCAAGCCCTTATTATTTTTCGTGTATAATAGTAGCAGTTATAGGGTTAGGGTGGCCCTTCTTTTACGATGTTGGATTTTTTTAAGCCTTATCCCTTAAATTGATTTCAAATTAAGTGTACAAAATTGCATGTCGATCAGTTAAGTTTATCTCGTGCCCCTAGCCCTTAAAGTTCAGAAACATGTTTCTGTTAAAATAACTACAGTTTTTTTTTAGTTTTTAGTTGATATCTTGTTTTATATAAAAATTCGTTTAGAGTAAATTAAATTTTCCGAAATTTTCTATAACTCTTGTTCTATACTTACAGTTTTTTGATTAACATAATATTTTTTTATAAAACTGATATTATGAAACATACAAGTTTAGGTATAAATAACGTAAAAACTAATTACTAAACAATATTATTACAAAATGTATTATATATATATCATATAGGTACAATATACATTTGCTTGTTATCAAAAAATAGTCTCATTGGTTATAAGGATTAAGTACCTAACCAGTAATTAAATTTGTTAAAATTTTTATTTTATAGCGCTCAAAGAATGGTTTTAAAATAGTAGGTACTTATACTTTTTAAATTGTATGTGTATTTACGGCGATAATATTCGACAATTTGGAGCACGTATTCTTTATGATCTTCATTTTTTGTTAAGATCATATTATAGGTACTCCTCCATGAGCTTTACCTCTCTTTTTTTGTATCGTTTGTAACACGAAGTGTATTTACAATTTAAAGACCTTTTTAAAAGTTTTTTATCGCACATTGGTGGATGTTTCTCCAAGAATGTTGTTGATATTCCAAATCGCGAAAAAAAATGAAGTAGATGCAACGTATATAACATCATGTATTTCTTTCTTTATATGATTTGAGCTAGGACGCTAGGTACTTCATTTGGCGAAATAATGAATAATGATTCGTTTATATTGATTTCAGAAGTTAAGTTATTTAGTTTTATAGAATCAACCATTTTAAGTTTTGTTTCAATCGTTAAATTAGCATCAAAAAATGCCAATGCTGCCGTTTTAGGTGCTAAATACCACAAGTGTCTATACACAGTTTTTTTTTAAGTTGATTGAGAAATGTTTTTATCTATTATTTCATAATCGATGAAACTTTAAAAGAATTGTAATTCTTTAAACGGATAGTTAAACAGAAAATAGCTGCACAAAACCATGCTTTAATATATCTATACCTACAAACGAATAAGAAATATACAAATTGATAGTCTTCTTTATTCTTTTTAATTTAAATGTTTACGAAGTATAAATATATAATATATAGTTATTTAAATTATAAAATTATATATGTTTTGACGGTTAATTTATACTTTATTGTATTTAAAGACAGGCTATAAATTAATATTTAAAAAATCGTTGTTTAATATAAACCATTATGTATATAGCAATTACGAAGTACCTACCTATATATAGGTATTATGGCGTATGCATAAATTGAATAATGAAAAAAATATTTCGAATTACTTAGGTGTATCGTAAAATTAAACTTATAAAAAATATAAATACCTATATATCCTATTTATAATATAGCTATACGGACATTACAGGAAACATATAGTTATTAAAACATTTTTCTACAGGCATATTGATGTATCTATAGATATAGATAATAGGTAACATAATATTTTTTGCAATTTTTGTGGAGTAAAAATTTAGATATTGACTACATAATATTGAGTTTTTATACCTGCTGCAGTTTTATTATATTTGAGTACTGTACCTTTAGCTTTATTATTTGTACCTACCCATATAATAGGTATATATATAATTTATTTAATAAAATTCCGTCTTTTGATATAAGATAACCCGTACCAATATAATATACTTATGTGTACCTATATATTATAATCAATATTCATTGTATATTTACATTCCATACAACAGTCGCGTTAAGGTTGTCTAAACGTAAAAAAATAAGAAAAATAAACTGGTTTTTATTTTTATGAACGAATGCAAAGTTTTTTTTTAAGAATGAGTGCGGCCGCGGCAGGTGGTACGTTCAATATATAAAGATATGATAGATTTATTACTAGATATTATAGTACAATACGAATATTCGTCGTACACTCGTACACCCATGCAGGGATTGAATGTGTACCTATATAATTTTCTATATTTTAAATACTATATTCTCGGTCGTCACTCGAATTAATTTGTATACATCAATGTAACAGCGTAACACATTATGTCACCAGTCACTCGTAGGTATGTACATTGTACCTATAGGTAAAGCGATAGGGTATGTATAGTTAGGACCCATAATATAGGTAGATTTTATCTATTATGGAAAATTATTTATTGTAGGACTGTACGTAAAACTGTATTAATATTTTTGTAGGGTATTATCCCTATTTTACAATAAATAAGTAACTTACCAATATTTTATTCAAAATATTTAATTTTCAATCCTGCATATATATTATAACGTAAGAAATATTTGTTATCAAGTTTAAAGTTAAATTTAAAAAATAAGTGATGGGCTCATATTTCATAAAATATTGTTCATATCATCCCCCAAATATTCTATATAGTACTCCAATATATAGTCTACTATACAATATATTATGTAAGGCATGATTGAAAGGGAAATCAACAAAAATATTATGTGAATCAATACGATAATAATATATAGGTATCTCCTGCAGCAATAAGAGTACGTATACTGCATAATATAATATAATATAATATAATATAATATAATATAATATAATATAATATAATATAATAATATAATATAGCCTATAGGTATATAGATACGCATTTTATCCTAACATACAACTATATATGCAATGTTAAATGATAAAATAAAAACCTATCGCGCGTTGTATAAAGCCGATATAAATGAATAATGAACATGACGTTTATATTATAATATACTAGCTACATCACCAATCGTCTAAATATAGGTTGATACATCATGCGTTATTTTGACATATTTAACTGATTCCCTGCAGAACGCCTAGAGCCGTCCTCATATTATGCGACCTGCAGTGAACAATATTTAACAATATATAACTATATTTCTACCTATACTATACAACCAGACTTCCAGACACCAGTTAACACTATAATATTATAAAATTGTAGTTACCACACACTCATACACATTAGTAGGTATATTACACATTGAGTGTAAAAACTACCAAGTCATACACATACACGAATACCGGAATACCTATATATATTATATACCTATGTATATTATATGCAGTACACATGAATACATAATATATATTAATTATTTCTCAAGTGTCAATTAATAATATTACCGTATACATAATATAAATCGTGTGTATTTCATTATCGACTACTTAATTTATAATACATTGTAATACCGCGTAATAATAATATTACATGATAAAATCTTGCATAGGTATACCATAGATGATTGGGCGCTTGACATGTACCTACAAATTACATATCAAACCCGTTACAATAAGCGCTTTCCTTAATTGACACACCAAATTTTACTTTACAAGAATATATATGATATATAGATATAGTTACCTACTACCTCTAGCTACCAATATAAATGTATACCATGTTATACTTATATTATTATGCACTTATTATTTATATATAGGTACCAAATCATTTTTCTGAGACATTCAATGTGGACTTATATTTTGATATAATTGTCATTATTTTACTTATAACCCTATTTTCAAAAGTATTAATAATATGTTATAGGTAGGTACTTTTATTTATATTGTAAATAAAATATTTGACGGATGCAGCTATTGGTCTGTGCAGCTTGAATTGAAATTGGAATAATATGATATATTATATATGCTATATAAAACAGTGTGAGGTACATATACCGAAAAAGTTTTTTAAATTTTGATTTTTTTATAAATCAAACATCTATATACCTATAGTATAGTTAATATAATAATCTCGACCGTCCGTGCAAGTGTCTTCTCCACGTATCACAGGCATGTGATATATAAGTCGATTCAACCGGCTATGAAGGTAACCTATGCTTATTAATTATCATACTATGTATATAGGTACAGAGTGGGTGCAAAAAACTGACGCTTGCACACAGTTTACCTAATCTTTAACATCCCTCTAATATGTATATAGGTAGCCAGGTAGGTACTATTGTGTTTCTGTGATGGGTATCTTACTCATTGCTCAGTATATAAAATAATAATATACGCAGTGACATAAATACGTAGATTTTAATTCGGCTTGTACTTAGTACCTATATATATATAACAATAACAATAATATTTTAGCAATAATAATGCATGAATAATGTAATTAATTTTCCAACGACGCGACCAAGTCGTAAATACGATTTAAACTGTCGTCGTTCGGAAAAATGAAGTGAAGAGACTATATAGATTATAGACTATATTTAGTAATGATCTTAAGCATCGGCAACTATGGCCATATTAGCATTTTGTATAGGGGGGGGGGGGGCGTGGCACGGTTGGTTGAGGAACACGTGTATGAGGGGCGACTTGGCTAGGATTAGTCACTAAAATCCAGGGTGGTCACCCATCCGGGAACTATATAGCGCGGCTCCTGCTGTCTATATTATAATATACCATCTATACTTATAGCTGGGTACTTAGATAGTTTATTAGATATATTTATTAGGTACCTACACGTTAGGGGCTACTGTTTCGTTTTCTGTTCCCGATGATTAAAATATTTAAACATTTTGTAAATACTATTTAGACAGCATATAGGATTATATATTTTATTATATACGATCGAATCATACTGCGTTACAAAATATTTTATATTCATATACTGTCAAACTGCCCATCATTGTGTATACTGCAAGGTTAAAATGACATTGCACATCACGTTCATCGTATAATATAATAGGTATAATAACGACTGCGATACTTGCGATTATTATTTCTGTTCTTTTTTGCGCCAATATAATATAATTATATATTTTAAAATTGTCTAGCAAAACCGCAAATAAAATACGTTATCTCACCATTAGTGTGTTTA